GCATAAAGTAAACATTGACACCCACACAGAGTAACAGAGTAAGTTACCCCCTATAAATCTATAAAAAAATCAAAAGCTTCAAGAAACTTTTGTACTGATTTCAGTGTAAGATTTGTCGGTGCCACTTATGCTACATGTTACTGTTATTTAAAGTGTTCCGGACTTTTCCCTTTTTGTGTCGCAAGGAATGGCAGGATCGAGAAGGCTTTCCATGGACAGGAGTGCTGCAGAGGTTTTAAGTCTGTCCAGTGATGACTGACACAACAGGGAACCAAGTTCCAGGTTCCAGCTGGAACCGTGGAGTGGTGCTTATAGATGGGCAAGCTTTCAGCCACTACTGAAACTGGGAATGTGAGGGAGCCCCACTCTTGGTCCTGGTCTTACCACAGAATTACAGAACTCAGTTCTTGTAAAGGGAACACACTGTGTCTTAATCTGTGCCCTGTGCCACAGATGGCAAGCCAGGGGAAACAAGCCAGGTATCTTAAGTATTCAAGGATACAGACTCATCTCTAGGGAGCTCTTCCGTGGGCAGTGATGTTGTCATACAAGATGAAAGGAAAAAAGTATGTAAACTCAGTTGTACAACAAACAGCTTATAAACAATGTAATTTTCCAAATGGCTGGATGTTTTATTCGCATATTTGTCAAATACTATATATGTCAAATATCTACACACTATAGATGAAAAGACAAAATTAATAGATGACAAATGGCAGCTTTACTCTGAGAAACTTGTTAAAGCACCTCAGATAGACTGGAAAACTGATCAGACTTGTGTTTGTTTTTTAAATACAGTCTGTAAGACCCTGTTTACTTAGTAATATTTGGAATTAGAAATCTACATATAAAATGCATCATGTGTCAGTACTGTAGTAGAATTCTAAAAATACTATTTGTTACTTAAATACCTGCAGAGAAGAGACAAACTATCGGTTCAAACATATGAAAAAAAGGAAATGAATGAAAACAAAATGAAACTTTTAACATACTTGATTTATTGCTCACAAGTATTTTGGACTTAGCAACAGGTTTTTTGATTAATTGGATTGTCTTTTGTATAAGTACAGCCACACATGAACATATCAGGGATTATCCCTATGCATAAATGACAGTAGAATCAGAACTCAACTTTGTGGAATGGCTAAATAGGGAATGGCAGCCATTGACATGGTGATTTCATTACAGAGTTCACTGCAATGATCCCTAGGTTACACAGCTGAAAACCAAAAAACCCCCTAAGCTAGCAAAGAAATGAGGCAATTGTTAAGAAGTCATAAACCTACTCAAAACAAGTGCTTTTCTGTTTTCTTTTAAAAGCAGCACTAGAAAAATACTGGAAACTGCCATAGATTTAAGAAACATTCTTGACACTTAAAAAGTTAGTTTTTCTACTGCTATCCATGAAGACAAAAGTATTTATAACTTTATATAAGTGAAATGTATATCAAGTAACCTTGAAGTAGTTGCAATGCATTGCAAATGTTGTAACATAAAAATTCACTTAGACTTTTTATATAATCTTGTGCAAGGCAAGTGCTTTGACTTGCACTAACAGACATCCAGCTGAAAATACATTTTATAATCTCCCTTTACAAAAAAATAGATTATGAATCATTTTGAATAATCACTTTCCCACCATTTCTGCAGTTTGTTTATACACCAACGGGAAAGGTACAAACAGGTAGAACAGCTGGCAAAATGACAGCCTAAGACATGGTAAATAGATACAGAAGAAACAATAATCCATTCTAAAATAATTAGAATGAAATGGTTCTACAGAAAATCGGTGGCATTTCTTTCACATGGATATGTAAATCTTTGTACAGATGCATAAATGTGTACAGGGTACAGCAAAAGAGTGTCCAGCTGTTGAAAACTGAGGAATATCAGATCTTTGTTTAATCAAGGCTGCCGTAAAGCTCTTTTCTCAGCTGTGCTATTTTCATTAAAATTGGATTTGTTAATTTTTCCTAACAGAAGAGTTGTATTCAAATGCTTTGTTCCCATTTTAATACATCTTAGTTTCTCCTCAAGAAAACATTCCTTTCCAAATCTTAGTTTGTTACCAATATGTTCAAAGAAGATTTTTATAGTGGGTTGAGAATGTAGATGCATTAATTTCATGTCCCTTTATGATTCAGTTTGTGTTGGTATAAAAAAGAAGTCCAAAGAGAAGCAAATGGTGAAGCTAAGACATTTCAGCCTTTTAATGAATTTATAAACCACTCTCACCTGCTACCACTCGAAATCCATAAGCAAGAGCACTTCACTGATACACACAGAGGGTGCAGATGGGGAAGGGGAGGAAGGTTTGGCAGACTGCATGGATTTCATTTTCTAAACCAAGGCAGTTACAGTGTGTACATTTTGGGCAGCAAAGTTCAGGGTTTGTTTGTTTTTCCTTCACCACTATTTGTAGCTTTCTCTTAGGAGAATAGACTTATGAAAACGTGATATCTGTACATGTACTGGTGTAGGTGGGTTAGTATAATAAAATTTCCCATCACGTTTTGCCACATTTGGCATGAACTACGCATAAATCCAAAGATAACAAAGTTCTTTCTGAGGAAAAAGGATTTATAATCTGTACTAACTCCTTAGTTGATGCAGCAGACTTTGCTGATGCCTCTGTTTTGGATAAACTTTTGTAGGGGGTTCCAATTGTCCATGTGCAAATCAAGTACTTCCCATAAATGAGGTTTACTTAGTGAGGAGTGGGGAAATACTTAATTTGCATTCCTCCTCATTGTTTTAAAGGCGCTGCCTTGTGACCGGTCAGCAGAGAGTTGCTCAGGTCTCACAGCTTTTCTCAATTACCTGTATTGCAGTCTGTAGGCAGAGCCAGTGTGGTGGTAGGGACAGGCCAGATTTCAGCTACAGTAGCTCTTCCTGTAAGAGCTTTGTGAGTTCACAGAAAACAAGAGATGGGACTGGGAACCACAGTATAATGGTTGAGGATCAATGAAAGGAAAAACATTGACACAGAGGCTTATGGAGACCCTGAAAACAAAAAGAACAGATGAGGCTGAGGAAGAAAACATCAGTGCTCTTGTGAGAAGAGAAGGGTAGTACAAAGAGGAAGCCATTTTGAAGCTATTCCACATGAAGATGCAGGCTACTGCACTTTCTCAGGGTGGGGGGCCACAAAAGTATGGTGTAGCTCTGAAAAGAGTACAGACTGTAGGCCTAAAAATATTTTTGGTTGGTAAAATAAGATATTTTAAGTAGGCTTAAACTTTCAAGCCCTTCACTTAAATTCTGAAAACATGTAGCTTTTCAATAGCATGTACACAGCTGGCAGTTGCAGGAAGCTGCAAGTTCGTAGACGATAGAATTCTAGCACACAAAGGGTGAACACCCCTGTTTTCCCAGAATGCTATGAGCTTCTCTTGCAGTTCCTGATAAGGAACTATAACAAGTCTTCAGTATACACATTTATGTACAATCAGTTGCTTTGGAGCCAAATTTTACATTCACACACACACACACACCCCTCACCCAAACCCATGTTTTAAAGGACACTGTGGCTTGCATCTAAAATCCTATATGACATCTTGCATTAGTCGTAATTTTTTTCATTTTGAAGGCATAACTTCACCTGTTGCCCTCATTTTTAGAGAATATTTACATCTATAATATTTTCATACCTGTTCCTGACTCTGAGCTTACTAGAGTTCCTGCTAATATTTCAACTCAAAAAGCTTCATTCAGGAGCAACAGTGATGGCTATCTTGGATAAAGGTGTTGGGGTTTTTCATGCCACTTTCTCTCCATGTTCTATAAAATACCTTAATACAAGGAAACGTTCCCTGGCTGTTAATGAGATAATCCTGTCAGCATCTTTTATGGTATCCTAGTCAGTATGTCCACTTGGGAAAATTTCAGCTGCTCAAACAGTTTGTAAACTCCAGTTAAAAAGAAGTGAAGACCACCCCAAGAATTTCCTGAAAATAGCATTAAAAATAAGAAGTAACAGGTCAAGAACCTTGTTCTGTTTCTCTCCTAGTTTTGCAGTCTAGGGAGGTAGATCTAGGCTAAAAAGTAGGAGATTAATACAGTTACTTAGGTTCAGTAGTTTTATGCAAGTCAGAAAAACAAGGAATGCTCAGTCTGTCTGCTTTAAAGCGGAAGAAATAAACTCATCTGTGTTCCCCTAGCAAGATTAGGTCACAGAAGTGAAACTTAGTTGCTAATTACTATGACTGTTACCCAGAATTAATTCTGAGTTTCAATCAGTTACATACAACGAGGAGGAAGGTGTGTATAGGTAGATGCAGGGTATGGGACGATAAGGAGCTAAAAGAGAATTAAGGTACTTGAACCAACTCTAATCTAAACATTATTTTTCTTTTTCTTTCTTTCTTTCTTTCTTTCTTTCTTTCTTACTTACTTATTTATTGGAGATGCAGGTTAAGATGTGGTTAGGAATACAGATGGCTAAAGCTGCTGCTTGGTTTCTCTGAGTTTTATTACTTTTGTGTGCACTGAAACAATTTTAATTTGTGGAAGGAAAAAATTATCATTTCAGCCAAACCTCACAGCCTAATTTTGACCTAAACAGAAGAGTTTTCCTTTGGAAAATAAAATCCTGTGCAACTGGGGGCTCACTCTGTTATGACAATCAGTTGTACGGCCTAACAATCCTTAGTGCCTGCACAGGAATGTGCAAGTAATGTGACTGTAAAATATAGCTCAGCAGTTTGAGCAAATGCGGCTAGTGCAGATTGTGCCATTTTCTTATGCAAAAGAGTGAATGCAGGTGGGATGAAGCTCTGAAACAGAACTAGAGAACAGGAGAGTCAGGCAGGTAGGTATGGCAACACGTGGTAGAGATAGTAATAGGGATGGCATGGGGTTTTTGTGGGTTTGTTTTTTTTTTCCCCCACAAAAAAAACCCAAACCCACCCACAAAAACCCCCACATTTCCATAAATGAAAACAGTAAGCAGAAATAAACATATTTTTTTTCTCTACCAAAGAGAAGGTCAGACAGAATGGAAATGTTACAGAAGTAATTTGTATTTAAGTAAGTGCTTATTAAATAAGTTAATTACCACATAACTTCGCAGTAGTTATCAGTTCTTTACCTTAAAATGCATCTATTACTCACTGGGATGGAAATGAGAAATTACCAAAAGAAGTAACAACTCAAACCAGGGCAATAAAACACTCTACAGAAACCAGTTGCCACTAGGACACCTGCTGTCCCCCACAGCTGACAAAAGGAAGTCCAGAGAGCAAAAGTCATAATTTACTGTCCAACTCACAGACACAATGCAAAAAGAATTTATAGTTTATTCCTCCTGTGAGAAAAGTATTCAGGAACAGATAAACAAATTAATGTTTGGAACCAAAAGTAACAGAATTTACCGAGTTATGCTTAAACTCTGTACATATACAAGCTTATATGCTGTACATTGTCATAATTATGAAGTTGAAAAATTACTAAATACAGAAGTATTTGCAAATCACTTTCCTACTAGGTAGAATGAGAATATATAGTGATGGATTTTGGTGTGTGTATATATCTCAGAGGATATACGTATACACACCAAGTATATATTTATATTGAAACAGGAGTATGTTGCTATACCAGTGCCAGTTGGAGACAGCTGAAAGGGTACTGGGTACCTGAGGATCCACTGTCACTTTGCAGAAGCCACGTTTTCCCAATCTATTCCCAGGTCTTATCAGGAAAGTTCACTGAAGTATTACCCAGACAGCTGTTGTTACTCCATTCTGGAAGGACACTGCTTTCCAATTACTAAACATGGAAGAGACATGATTTGACAGGTTCTTGTTTGCAGAAAACTTAACAAGCTGACATCCAACCCAGTGATGGGAAGGATCTGGACTAGATCACAGAAAGCTGAAATACTTTGTATTGTTACTGTACACCAGCAAATCCAGGCACTTAACACTATCAGCATTTCTATTCTCAGCTATTCCAGAACTATGGGTGAAAGCTTATCTTTTTCATAATCAAAAACAAACTTTCCCTAGACCTCAGTAGGATAGGACATAATCTTACATTCTAATGGTACTGCATTTTAATGAACTCAGGAATTTTAAATGTTTGGCAAAGTGCTTACTTTAAGAGAACCATTCAGATATTTATAATAGCTTGACTAAACTTCAGAGCCAACAGATGATAAATTCTCTACAAGATAAAGGCACAATATTTACAGGTACTCTTACCACTGCAGCTTTAAATAAGATAAACTAAGTACCCACTACGATCTCTGAAATTAAATTGTTAAGAATTATAGTAATAATCTTTCATAAAAAAGTAGATATGCTTGTGCATTGAGTACTCTCGATTCTGGAACCATCTGAACGTGGGCATCACTAACGTACACCCACTGTCCTCCTGATGCTCCCATGGCTTCTTTTAAACCTGAAATGCAGAAGCAAAAGAAGTTGTTTCTTGTCTTTCAAGTCATCATCAAACACATACACTGGATTATTTCAAATAGCAAGAGAAGCTTCTAACCTCCAAGCATTCGTTTTATTTCAAAAGCTGACCAGTGTGAAATTAAGAACACAAAAACATCTAATCTGTTCCAATAATCACTGCAAGACAAGCGTAAGACTGAAGGAAACTTTGGTTTCAAAAATAATGTAAAATATTGTCTTTCTAGGAAATGAGCTTCAAATGCAAAGTGATACCCCACAGGATAGACAGGATAATGCTTGGTTCTCACTCCTCCCCAAGAAGGGAAATAGTAAGTATATTTACTTAACTTGGTCAGCTTAACATATTCCTGCCCCAACAAATCTTTCACTAACACATTCTATCTTGGAATCTTATTTCATTCTGCATATCCAAAAAATATTAGTAAGAACTAGTGTGCTGTTCTCAAAATACCAATAGAAACCCTACATCAAACCTTGTATCCTCCATGAAAAAGCTTCTTCCTGTTCACATTAAACCAGAGGATTCCAGAATTTTAAGCATTAAATATTTCCAATCCTAAAATACATAAAAAGCCCAAATATTTGGAAAATTTCATTTCATTTAATGTCATAGATTTGATTCTTGTACTAAAATATTTTCAAATACCAAATATGCCAAATAATTACCTTTTACCAGGCACAACTATTCATCTGGGCATATTATTTTGACTAGGAAAGAGAGGAGAGTTTTCTGTAAATTCTCTGTTTAATAACTGAATCAAAATTCCATTATTCACTCAGCTCTATATGGAATTAATAGCAGAAGTAGGTTATGTACTGGGTGCAACAAAAAAAGAATAATTCATAGAATCATAGGTTGGTTTGGATTGGAAGGGAATGTAAAGATCATCTAGTTCCAACTCCCCTGCCAAGGGCAGGGACACCTTCCACTAGACCAGGCTGCTCAGAGCTCCACCCAACCTGGCCTTGAACACCTCCAGGGATGGGGTTTCTATGACTTCTCTAAAAATCACAAAATAGTCTGAGCTAAAAAATTATTTGCTATAAATCCTCGTGGACAGTGGCTGCTTTTGGTTTTACAGAGAGGGAAAGGAGGCTCTGTTTGTACATACCCAGAACATTTTTAGTGCTAGAAATATGCTCTAGTAATTTCTTGGAGGATGGCCTGACTTTCACGTACGCCGCGTAGTGACCACCTCTCATTGACCCGCTGTGCTCCACTATTCCATAAAGACTATAGAGCACTCTTGCACCATCCGTAACATTCTGCATTCCCAGAAACACAGAAAACAAAGGTCAGTTATTTCACAATGAATTTTACAGGCATCTTAACTAGCTATCAACAGTATTACTTCAAAAGAAGAAAACAGATATTTCCAGTGGTGAAATACATCCATTACAAATATGCAGTGATCTTATTAATTGAATTTTGTTATATTTTGCAATAATACTTGTCCTTAATTCTATTACATACACTAACACCATCAGAGCACCATAGCTTAACTAATACTAGTGTTAACTAGTGTTAACTAGTATTAGTTAACACTATCACATCTGTGATATTCTTGATATGAATGGAATTGCAAATAGTTACAATTTTGATCTCAAGACGCTATGTGAAAAATTCACCCTATAATGTCTCTAGGAAAGGAAGGAATCATAATCATCATCATCAATCCAGTTTCACTTGTGGTCAGACAACAACTCCTGAAGCACAATAAAAATAAAGATTTGAAATGGGTACCTTGCAAGATGCAGCACAAAATGGTGCCAAATCTAAAATCAGTGGGAAATCCACATGCCTGTTTACTTTCCGTAGACTCAAACCAGCCTTTGAAGGAAAAGAAAAAAAAAAAGACTGTAAAATATATATTTTTACTAGGAAGCTTTTTAAAGCTAAGGTGTAGCACTATATTATTAAAATGAACCAAATCCAAGAATAAGACTGTAACTGATTTAAACATTCTTTGTTATCTTTTCAATACGGTGTCTGCTTGTGTTGAACCCACCACACTGCTGTATATAAGCATGATGGACACGTTTCCCTGGAGGTGTAACAACAATCACAAAAACACCAGCATGTTTCAAATAGTGGCTCTACCAGGTCTCCTTATAAAAAGCCAGTATCACTATGCACAACACTTAAAGGACTGCTTGTCCACCAGGGGCAGAGGAATGTACAAGAGGGTTTTAGCCTCTTACCTGGTGGAATCTTTTCAGGTGGAGAATAAGAATAGCAGGAACTGAAGAAATCAGAAGCTGTTTCCGAGCATTTGTGTAGACACCTTCCATTTTCTTTTCTGTATTTATGAGTATCAAAATAATTTGTAAAGTGAAGGCAGACACATGGAATTTTTAAAGTATTTTTTAAACATCTGACAGAAATTTTGCACTTGTTATATAAAAGACAAGGGAAATTTTGTAGAGTAACAGAAAAATATTTTCTCATTTTTCTAGTTATTAATAACCATAATCTGCCAAATCTGAGCATTATTTTAGCCAGTCTTGTGCAAATCAGATCAAAAGTTGGAAGCCTGTACACTATCTAGGTCAGCTTGCACAACTACACTGTCTGTTACTATAGCATCCAGCTTTTCTATTAAAACCTGAAATAGATGGACAATCCCTGACAAAAACTGGAAGGCATGGGTGTCTTTATCTATGCTAATGTCCTAATCCCTAAGAGTTTAATTTTCCATTATTCAGTTTTTTCTGAATGACTCCATACTTCATACCTATTTAAGAGAAAGATCTAAGGAGGGCTGTCTGCCTTAGGATGCCTCATAACCTGCTGGCTTGAGCACACAGGATTGGCATGTGTGGACTCCAGTCCCCCTTTGTGGAGAGGACACTGAACACAGGGCTCTTACCAAAAGTAGCTCAGGGCTTAGCTGCTCAGTAGAAGGGAACATGCTATCAGCATTTATTTTTGCTGAAAAGATTAATTCATTTACTAGTTTTATGCATGTTCAAAGGAAAATATTTCATTTGAGGTAGAATGGAGCATTTAATGTAAAAGTGACTTCTTACATCTTTTGTTTTAGAAGGAAAAAATAAATAATGATTAATTGTAAATTGATGTTCCTTTTCCATTTTTCATGTGCCCATGGAACTAGGTCCAATCATGATAAAGAAATTATGGTAAAATACTATGTTTAGATTAATTTTTTCTGAATTTACTCATGCTTAACTTGTATCTCTCCAAGTATCTATAAATGCAGAGCAAAGGGGCAAATTTTTGTTACCTTCCTTTATATTTTATTTACAAATAATCACAAGAGCTTAATTTTTTATCCTTCTGAATGTCTATACATAAAAAAAAATAATCCTCCAGTCCTTTGAAAAAGTTAATTTTTCATTAAATTGTTTTTCTTACTCAGTGAACTGTAATGGTCTGCTTGTGCTACACAAACATCAAGGAAAACATTGTCACAAGAAGGTAGTTGTCTCTCATCTCCGGTCTTACAAATCTTTGGAAGTTTTTTTCCCCTCTTCATTGCAAGTGTCTTTTTTTGCCCCTTTTCCATACTTAATAACATTACTTCCCTGAGTATATAAATTACTGGGGCTGAATATTACAGCACTTATTTCAAAGCTTTGAGGACTGTAAGGAACAGAAACAGTGGTAAAGATTAGTATGAGACAATGCACATATTCAGTTTATGGTCATCTTTAAATTCCTTATCTTGGATAGAATAAAGATGCAAAATAAATTTTACATTACACCTATGATTATGTTCTAATACAAAATTTAGTCTTGTTTCCATTGCATGATGAAGTTTTGAGTTGTTACAAGCAACTTCTGCTTGGGGAGACATTTTCTATTTAGCCCCAATGTGGGGAGGCCTGTGCTGGAGCAATGGAACAGCAGCCAGCGCACAGATTTTGGGAGGAAAGGCTGAAAATTGTCCAGAGAGGTACAAGCACTTTACCTGTGGAGTTGGTTTTCTTCTGATACTTCTGTTTCCTTTCTGTGCAGTTCTCACATAAAAGCTTGTTGTTCCCCATTAAGAGCTCTACAGAGGTGAATTGGTAAAGGCAGGACTGAACAGAACATTCCTTTGAGCTAGTTATGTAGCTTTGGGAAAGCGTCTGGAAAGCATTTTGAGGGGTTTGGGACAGTGAAGATTTATCTACTGAGAACACAGAATTATTTGATACACCTAACGCTGGATCTCCACGGCTCGATTTTTTATCTTCATTTATTGGATCACAGAAGCCAAGTTTGGATATGGCACTGGAAATCACCTCTTCATTACTGCCATTTGGCATTTTGTGCGGCATTTTAACATTTATGTGGTTGACGTGCAAACCAGATGTGTGGCTGGATGGGCTCAAAGCTGTTTGCTTAGAAGCACTTTCGCTTTCTGAGGCTTCACTGTCGGCATCAAAGCTGCTTTCAGAGCGGCTGGCTTCCTTCTCACTGCCCTCTGTCTGACTGCCATTGACAGCTGAGTCAGCAGTTGTGTCTCTGGAGTACAGGACGCCAGAGCTACCTTCCAGCTCAAGCTTTTTGGTTTTTTCCTGCATGATAACAGGACTTCTTTCTTCTTCCTTCAAGGAAGCTTTTCTGGCAAGCCGTCTCTCATGGTTCAATTGGTTCTGTAAATTATGGCATTATTATTTCAGTAATAAAAGTAATGCATTCAGAAAATAGATTTGTAATCTAACATACCTTTTGAAACATGACAAATTCAAAGCAAATTATTGGGGGTTTATATTGGTTTATATTCTCCATCTCTCACATGTTTAAGCTAGTCCATTTCCCTAAGATCTTTTTAAACTGATTTAGGATTAGAAACCTACACCCCAGTCAGCTAAGAGCATTATACTTACTGTGAGATCAATACTTCCCACAACTAATAACTTTCACTTTGTGACAGCTGTGGATGGTACGTTTGAAGTGGTAGTCACTTAATCTAATTTAAAAAAGGGTCTCAGGTTTAAACTAGTCCCCTGGCCTCCCATCAGAGGCCTCAGTCGATGAGAGGTTCCAGAAGAAAATTCAACTCACCTTGTAGGCACTTGTCGTAGAATTAACTAAAGCATCCCTTGTAGGATGTTTGCTAATTTGTATATTACCTGAAGTTGATTTTTTTTTAAATCAAGATTGCAAGAAGAAAGAAAAGGGTTGCTGCCACAGAAAACTGCTCCTTTATATAAAAAGTGATTTAGATAAAAAGCGTTCATGATTCTTTTTTTTCCTTCTTTTGCTTGGCTACTTTCCAACAGAAATTAGCAACTTTCCTTCCCCTTTGTTTTTTCCTTTATTTCAATTGGATGAAAATTCCAGTGGTGCTAGTGGGAATCCTTCCATTCACCTCAGTAGTTTGAGCTGTAGCCTTTTCTCCTACAACAATCAGTTTCTGCACTACTTCTTTCCACCCTGTCCTTTGTTTGTACTACATGTCCTTTTTCTACTTCTGTCTCATTCTCTTCTCTTATAATCCTTTTATATAGTCATTCTGTTGTATTTTTTCCTCACATGTATTTAATGTGTTAGGACCTGATTCAGAAGAGTTTTTATGGTTCCCAACTGGGCACAGACCCTTGCAATGGTCCCAAAATCAACATGAATTGAAACTAGTTTGCAGATTTTCTTTTCCTGACAAAGGAAACCCTGTAACTGAAAACTAAATAGTTACCAATGACTGTCATTTCTCACGCTTCTAATAATGACCTAAATATTTTAAAACAAGTTTATGTCAGCAACACATATACAAAAAACCCCCCTTAATAGGTATCAAAATTCCCTAGAAATTCCCAGTTGCCCTAGAAACTTCAGAATAAGCTCAAGATGACTGGTTAGTATATTTAAGTTCTTACCTTATCTTTTGTTAAAGTGTGTTTCTTGACAATTTTGGGCTGATTATTCAGTGTACTGATAGAAGAACAGTTATACTGACCAAGATCTGCCTCCTGTACACTTTTACCTTTACCTGTTCTTCCCAAAGGCATGGGTTTTGCAACCTAAGAAATTAAACAGGAAATTAGGAAAGGCACTATGTCAATTTTGTATTCCTTTGCAACCTACAGAAAGATGAATGTAGGTGGGGGTTTTTTTCCTTTACTTTAGAAAACAGTGACCTACATAAAACCAATTAACTATCCTTCAAAATTTTTTTACCATAAACTCACTGTCAAAGTCTTTGAAGGATCAACTGAAAGGCAGAAGGAATAGGAATGATACACAATTCCTGTATATAATACAATACAAAATAATCTATTACTTTATAAGAACATGCATAGCTGTATGAGATGTGATGTAATGAAAGGTGACACAGCTCCCATAAGTCAGTCTCTGGTGTAGCCAACCACCTTATGCCATGGTGAAGGAGCTGCCACACACCCCCCCATAACATTACTGGCAGCAGTGTGTCTGAACTGTTGAGGAAAGCAAAAACCATAAAGTAATGCCCATCCTCAAATAAGTGCAGCAACTGCCAAAGAAAGCCCACAGAGTTCCCGTGTTACACATGGGAACCAGGAAGCACAAGAGCCCAGATACACAAAACGTTCTTAAAGCTTTAACTCCCACAGGCATCTGCACTCAATGCACCAACAAAGATGGCGAATTTGTTACAAGCAAAACTGGTGTTTGGAGAAGAATACATTTTATACAGGAATAAATGCTACATTAAATAGGCTCCCTTAAATATAGATGAATATATGCAGGATGGAGGAAGAACCACTCCCAACCCACCCCCACTTTCTTGAATGAAAACCCCAAGTCCTGCAAAACCAGAGTATGTGCCTTCAAAGGAACACAGTTCCTCCACAGCTAATGGAAGTATTCTGTGAAATGCTGAAAATACCAGAATAAATATATTCCAATATCCATTTTTACAGTGTCTCATCCTGTAGGTAAACTCCAACCCAAGAGACTCCAGTTCTCTACGTGCAAACCAACAGATGAGAATCTAACCTGCTGAACCTCCAAAAAAATGTTTATAATCATTCTATTCATAGAAGTATATTCTACTAAATTAAGCTAATCTCAGACCTATATATCCTATAAATTACTAAGATCATTTGGTCCAAGTTTGGACTAATTTAAAAATATATGCACTTAAGACATTGTATGTCTATTCATGCAAAGAAAATCCTATAATGAACAGATGTATGACAGCACACATATTTATGGACAAGGTTACAGTTTTAGGCTTGAAATCAAAACTCTGTGTAAATACATAAATATCTTCATAAAGGTATGTAGAAACAATCCACTAGGAGCAATAGTTACTTATTACATATTCTGTTTCTTACCCTCTCCTCTATTATAGGAAGTGAAAGATCAATGAAAGGTTCTTTTACTGTTGAAATCTTGAAGAAAAAGAGAAAATGCATTTAAACACAAAGAACATTGTACAGGTTTAGTACACAGCTCCCTTTATTTAAACAATTTATTATCAGAAACTATACAAGAAGTTAATTAGTTACAAGATATATCAAACTACAATGAAGAACTTCCCACTTTTTAAAAAATTTTTTACATCAGCTTTAATTTTCTTTCTAACACTGCACAAAATTTCAGCATAAAGTCAAAAAGGGCAAGGCCATTCACTTGGGCATGAACTGGACACAGACGCAGTTTGGTGCTCAGTTTCTCTGAGCTTCAGACAGATTTTCAAGTCATGTGGGCCTTTGTGGTATAATTTTGCAGAAAGCTACCCTTTAGAGTTTCCTGATTCTGGACTGGTCTGCACAGGCGTTTGACCTCGTACACTGTTACGCAGCAGGGACTGGTTAATGACAGTTAGGTGGTGACAGGTTCTGACCTCATGTCTCAGCTAAGATTAAGTCAGTATTACTGGTTACAGCTAAAAGCTTTGTTAGGTTTTGTTAAAATAGGTCCAATTACTGGGGAAAAGGGAATTAAAAAAAATCAGCCCTATTTTTTGTACTGTGGTTTTATTTTGCCATCTTATAAGCTGGAAATATCTTTCAAAGCATACCGCATACCTAAAGACAATCTCTTCCAGCACTTTCCATCTGCCTTTATCACTAAGTTCCTTAAGCTCTCTCCCTTGCTGTCCTCAATCCTTCCAAAACTGACTTATCTTACCTCTGGAAAGACTGTGAAAAACAAAACCTTAAAAATAAAACAGTAAAAATCATGTTGTACATTTAAGTCATTGAATACAGTCATGCCCTCAATTACTGTCACTGTGTCCCTTCTCTTGTATTTGTGACCCAGTCTTCCACCTGTGACATTTGATATGGACTGCAGGTTTATTTTACCTGTTGTGTAAGGGAATCAGGATGGTTTAGGTTCCAGTAAAGCAATTAATGAGATCAAAAGCATTGCAACTATGGAGGCTGACTGCCTGATGGGCGATGTTCAAACAGGGGTTCCTCTAAAGTGTCAGTTTGCATGAGCAAACATGAATCAAAAACATCTTGCCAGTGCAGGCAAAGGAAAACAAATGCTAAACTCTTCCTCAAAGAGCTACAGCTAGCAAATTCTCAAGTCCTGTGCAGGCAGAATATAAGAATCCAGCAAAAATAAATGAGACATGCAAAATACATACAACCTCTATTTTTTATATAGTCAAAGTTCTTCATTGATACTAGTAGCACATTGAAGTGTAATCTGCACATCACAGTTTACCTGGCACTGCAGGACTGTGCTTAATTTTTCAGATTGATTAATTTACTTAATCTCTATAATATGAAATAGAACGTTTTAAACCAAACACAAATATAACATTCAATTAGAAAAGTCATGCAAATAAGATTTTTCTCTTTCAAACTTGAAGAAAATTATAAGGATCATGGAAAGCATTTATGATGAAATGTCAGTAATATTAATTATGAAAGGAATATGCTGTTCATTGGGGTTATTATGTTAATTATAAAACATACTTCAAGGAAAAAGAAATAATTTTAGCATTTCCCCACTCATACTAATTCAAATTAAGTAATTCCCAATTTTCAGGTATGTCCCAGAAGAGCAGGCAGGAGGATTTATGTGTTAAGACAGGCAGGTGTTTTAAAAATATCAATTAACACTGGGGTATAACACATATGATTATGGAATTTGGAACCTCCAGCCTTAAGTCAAATGTAAAATCAAGCCGAGGAGTTGAATCCTTTTTCAATTCAAAGGACCCCTCTTCTTAGGTTTGGGAGGATAATGCTTTTAAGAAGGAATAAATAATTTCAAATTAAAAACTTTCAATAAAATCTTGTTTTTACAAACAAACAAACAAGTATAAAATTGGCAACACAATTTTATACTTCCAAGACAACATAATCAAACCAGTATGTGATCTATTCCACATCAAACCAAATTCCAGAATACCTACATTTTCACATTCCTCACACATGACAGTGCTAGTCAATTCACCAACAAAGATCCTATCTATGAAGTTCATCTTCACACCCTCTCTTCCATATGCTGAAAAAACATTGCCTTTTTTAAATGTGAAAAATAACAGATCCAATGCCACACTATAAGTACAAAAAAAATTCTTTCCAAGATATATTATGAAAGCACAATTTTTAAACATATTTAAAATGTTTAGAACACAATACAATAACTAGTTCATACTGTTATCTCAACATTTAAAAATATTGTAGTGAGAAGGTTCCCTTTTATCCTTCCCTTCCCAACTTAATGTAACAAAATAATAAAACTGTATCTCTCAAGAAGAAGCCTTTTAAATAAAATCTGTTTCCCTTTGCATACATACTATTGTATTGCCTTGATATAGAGACTGGGGTAGCAGACAGGTTGTCACCCTTTCTAAATGTTTTTTTCAACTATAAAACTCTAAAAAATTAAACAAAAGCCTGTTCTAACACATCTCTATGCCTTATCTTTTGCAGATTTGGGAAGGGTGACTTTCAAAACATCTTAATCACTGAGACTTTAATTAAAAGAAAGTCCCCCAAATTAGAACTATTGAACAAGCAAACACACATACAAAAAGATTAAAAACTTGTTTTGAACAAAAACATGCCTTTTCTTTGTAGTTGTATTTAGAGTGCTCAAAGTAACAGTCAAGTGACAGAAATCAGTTTGTTTATGGGAAGTGGCCTCTCTGAGTGACACAGTAATTATGACTGTATAACAAATATGAAGCAGGCTATTTTAGAAAAGAAAATTAAGTTCTATCTATCATTAAAAGATGCATTATTAATACCATGGAAGCCTTTATCCTGGATACAAAGATGCAAATCAGCACATACTAAGCTGTCTATACTTTAGGTACACACTAGGCGGCACTAAAGTAACACAGAATAAAAGTCTGGTAACTACAGCACTTCGGGACTGCTCTTTGCAATAAGCAGTTCTGAAGAAAATGGTATTTAAAGACTTGTGCGTTTTTAAAAGTTTTCAATAAAGAGTTGCATACCTTTGACTTTTCTTCTAGTTTCTTCATCTGCCGTCTTAGTAGTTGGGTTATTAAATGCTTTTAAGATACCAGTTTGTATACGCTATAAGTAAAAAAAAGAATTAAGTATTCTAAGTGTAAGCATTCTAAAAACTAGTCAGATATTATTAGATATTATCTTATTTTATTTGCATAAAATAGGCATAATTTAGTGTTGTAAAATTACTGTTGTTATTCACTAACAATGTCAAAATGACATGAGCTTAACTTTAGTAGGTAACCATTCAAAAAACTTCCCTTAAAAAGGGAACCGTTGTAGGGCCCTTGATAGGTTATCAAGAAACCATGGAATTTTCAGTATACAAATACTGTCCATTTCTTCCACCACTAAAGAGAAAAAATATATGGAAGACTGGACTATTACTGATGACTAGGGCACAAAACACTTGAAGGCAGCTAAAGATCTTTTAATAGTCAGACTTCAATGACTGTGTTTGGGCAGTATTTTCATTACTTCTCTTTATTTTCTAACACTGCACATTCCAGAGTTATGTTAGAAAACCTTACAAGAGACAGAAAACTTCCAGTGAATCCATATAAATGTTATCAATATTTGCTCCAAAAAAATCCTAAAAACTACACTTTTGAAAGAAGGATCAGAAAGAAGCAACTTCAAAAATGATGGGCTGTAGGTGCCCCTCCAGACAGGCGGTACTTGCCCCTGCTCTTTCTCAGCTGCCCTGGGGTGAGGAGATGCTGTACTCCTGTGAGGTGTACCCTCGCAGCAGAACAGCACGTGCTGGTAAAAAAGCCCAATCTGACCTGCTGCAGAGAGGAAAGCAGAAGGATGAATCAGGTCCCCTGACGGGTAACACTGTAGCATGCATGACCCGTGCTTCCCCTTTTTCTGGCAAATGTACTGGCTATCTGATCCACAAACTCTAGGAACATGTAGGAGTCTCCCGCATTGGTGTGCAAATGACATTTATAATTAAACGTGTCACTGAAGTCACACTTAGAGCAAAGTACCATTCTAAGAGACAAATGGTGATACCAAACTGTCTGCAAGCAACTCAAACCCTGTGTCCTAACAGGAAAGGATTAATAAATGCCTCTTGTTTCCAGGCAGCAAAGTACACTTTCAGGCCACAATGTTACAAAAGTGTGAGGATGACAGACAGCGTTGGAGGTTTGGTTTGCAGTTCAGGCACCCATCAGACCAGTCATACTCCGACCTTATGAGTATGTGACCTGGCTTGTGAATTAACTCCCGCTGCCCCAAGCTCAGCTTTGTTCATCTTAAAGCCAACAATATACTAAAAGGATTAATCAATAGGTAATTCATGAAGTTGAGCACCATAAATGGGTTTAGGGCCATAAGCAACCCTTTTGTTGGGATTAGCTCGTTGAACCATTTATTTAGGTCAAAGAAAGACATAGTCTTTGAATGGGCAGGGTGCTGTGGACAATGGCAGCAGACATTAATCAATTAGCAGCAGGGTTCAGCCACTTCAGGCCCCGGTGTGAAACCATCTCCAGCCCACATTGCTGGAAACAGCAGACGCTATGTCATCTTTATTGTCGTATTGCCAAGCTTTTAGCTTAAAAATCCACTTGTGTACATACACACTTTCTAACTAAACTTTCTAACTAAAAGTTCAGCACTGGTATCAGATACAAGACACAAAACCACACAGAAGAGGCAAAAGTATAATGTCATTTTTGGTTAGGTCCCATAACTACTGCCATGTTATGTATCACATGTATTTCTCATAAAAACGCTTAGGGTTTAAAAACAATCCTGGCAGGTGGAGGGAAGCAAGGATGGCCACGTTCAGCTCTCACAGGTGGATGGCAAAGCAGTCAGTCACCTTTCAACAGCGTTGTTCCCTCTTCCAAGAATGAGGTTTAAAAGTGGCTTGAAAGAGGAAGGTCAGTGTCTGTAAGCTGTTGCTGCAGCCAGAGCCCACGTGGTGGGCAGGCCATAGGGGCAGCTGCCAGGCTCCTGCCTGTGTCTGGCCAGCACGGTGGCCAGTGCTCACCATGGGCCTTATATTTGCTGGTTTTGTGCCATCTACAGACCTGAAACACGGGATACTTTAAAGAAAAAGAGAGAGAGAAAGGGGGAGAGAGCTTTTCCTACTACTGTCTGTGGCAGAGCACCCCGAGTGCTTGCAGTAATGCATCATTAGGGCAGCTGTGGGGTTTAATTGCAGGGTAGGGTGGGACCCACCTCTCCCTGCCTGGTAATGGGGCAGCAGAAATACTGCTCAGAAGGTCACCATGAATTCTCACCATCTTCCATCACTCTTTTGAGGTAGCTACTGTAGCTGTCACTGCTCTCTAATAATAAATGGCAAAATTCAAAAGGCAAATATGACTGCAGGTTATCATAATGATGGCATGTCCACTGGTGAAGCAGGAGACTGACTTGAGGGGAAACACAAGCACCTGTTGGAGAAGAAGCTTGGTTGTTGTAATAATCCTACTTTCTGTGAATCCTCTTTTGTCAAGTCAGTACAGTTTCCACCTTTTTTTTATAAGAAAATCAAAAAATAAACCAATAAAATTTCCTTCTGCTGCAAAAACGTGACAAGTGTTTTTTAACTGAAATTACCTGCTTCTGTTGTGTGCCCTGTTCAAGACATAATTTTCTAAAACTTTTCAGTGTCAAAGTTTAGGCTTAGTTTAAATAGGCTTAGAAAAGCCTATTTACCAAAATATCATCTGAAAAGAAGGGTCCAAGACTAAGTCAGGCAGATTAAATCTAATATGGTCCAAGACAGTTCAAACAAGCAAACATACACTTTCTTTCAACAGTACAGGAGGCACAAGTAATGAAGGAAAAGAAACAACAAAACTCACACAAGGACATTTTCAATACAACAAACTGCTTCTATACTTAGCATACTTAGATGTAGATTTTAAGCAATGAAAAGCAGCACCTTATTTATAAAGCAAGGAGCTCTTCACACTTCCAAGAGATACAAGAAACTTTGCAAGATTTTTCTTTTTTTCTTTTCACAATTTGCAGTTAAAATTGTGGGCAGGCCCACAGCTAGGAGCTGCTAATTTTTGTTCCAAAGCTTTAAAATTCTGTCAGCTAAATCAGAGGTCCTATATATTTACTTTCTTGACTCCTCAGATGTCCTTTTTTTCATACTTTTCTTTTTTTAAATAAAGGCAAACAACTCAGATTCCTAAAAACTCAGATGCCTAAAGTTTTCACGTTCTACTTACCACACCCTTTCTACTGCTAACTGAAACTTCCATTCCAATCAACAATTTTAATAAATCACCATGAACATAATTAAATCATCCTTCAAAAAAAGTAATCATTTTTCTCAAGATAACAGAAATAGCCACTCTTACTTCATTAACTACATCTTTAAAACATTGGGAACATGAAGAACATTGAAGCAATGACTAGTAGTTCACCATAAAGTCAATTAAGTCCTTTAAAAGACACACAAAGACACTACCTTTGTCTCCTCAATCCTGATTGCATCCAACAGATAGTGCAGAAGCTCCTGGCTGTCCTGCTGCTGGAACCCCTTAAATCGAGGAGCCCTATGAAAGAAAGAGTAAAGAATTTAAAGTGGTCTTAGGAGGCACAGAATCACAGAACATGCTGAGTTGGAAGGGACTCACAAAGATCATCAAAGTCCAACTCCTGGCCTGGCACAGGACACCCCAAAAATCACACCATGTGCTTGAGAGCATTATCCAAAATGCTTCTTGAACTCTACCAAGCTTGGTGCTGTGACCACTTCCCTAGGGAGCCAGTCCCAGTGCCAAGACAATGTCTACATCAGAGTCTTGTTGGATGCCAGGGGCACAAATAGGTGCAATCCCTGCTAGACCTCATGGGACTTTAGGAAGCTCCTGGTGTGGCAGGCAGCAATTACACCAACAAGGCTGCACTGTAACCTGGGTCACATTTTGATCCTATTGGGTATGGCTTGACTAAAATACAGCTTTGTCAGTAGAGCCTCATCCATGCTAGCAGTCAGTCCTGACTGACTCTACACCAGTACTTCTGTACCACTAAACATTCCCAATGTCATGAAAGAGACAGAAAGACTGTCAAAGTGCTTAGCCTCTCTTGCTATCTCACCCTTCTCTCAACTGACCAGAAATCTCAAATGTGCATAAAACAGTCCATGTACAGTAAACCATAAACAGCACAATAATCTCAACTGGAAAAAGATGATCTTGAAATGGAAGGGAAGTCACAAGGCTATACATCAAACAAACAAACAAAAACTGTGTGTCAGAATCCAAATGAGAATTTCTCAAATTAAACAAATATACAACCATCTCTTCTAAATGCCTCCACAGGCCATTAATGCAGTAAGCTGCAGCTTAGCAAACTGAGTGAATGGTCAGTGAGTTAAGATGGTAAATATCATCACACTGTATATGGATTTCAAATACTACTAAGGAAACTTAAGAGAAAATTATAATAGTACGATATCCTGATATACATATCCTGATACATGTAATTTACACTGTATTCAATTACTCTTTTATTTATACTAAATTTCTTCAATTAATATTATATATATTAGTGATATATGCTCTAAACCAAGGATCTCCATTTTAAGAGCATTTCTAATTAGAAAAAACAGGGTTTGGTGTTGGGTTTTTTTAGGGTAGGAAGAGTTAAGCACTCCTATGCTATCAGGTAAGAATTACTCTTACAGTTCTTTCACAGAACTTTTATAGGGACCTTTTAGCATCATAAGTTATCAATTCACACAATGTCTGCACCCAAACTCCTGTCCTAACAAACCGCAATACTTCACACATCTGAAATTCATATTAAAACATGCAGTATTACCAGAAGCAAATAAAACACAGTCTCATATGTAAAATGAAAAAAGCCCAAAAATAATGAGTTGTTTTGATTGAGACAATAAATTTGAATCCAGATTCCAAAACTATCAGGTTTGTGAAGACAGGTAATAAATTGGCTACACATTGTCTCAACTCTACTCAAATCTGCTTCTGGGAATTGTATACCCATCTGGTTTTAACAGCAAAAAACCCTGAGATGACAGATGTTCAAATTTCATAAATATTCAGCACTAATTTAAAGGAATCTTCTTTACTCACCCATCAAAACAATCAAGTATATCAAGTATTTTGCTCCCACTGTACACTGAACAGAAAAACATTACAAATTTTAGCTCCTTTGCAATGCCTGAGTGCACCAAAACCAAGTTATCTGGACAACTCATCCAATCATAGACTCATAGAATGGTTTGGGTTGAAAGGGACCATGAAAGATCATGAACAATCCATGCTGTTACTGTGATGTAATATCACTACATTCATTTACTGGCTACTCATGTCAAACAGAAATCCGAATCTGGAAGATATAGAGGATTCAACAGCTGCAACAGCTTCTTTCAGAAAAAAAATAGTGTACTTCCTAACTTTTCATCTCTAGAAATCAAAAGTCTCAAAGAAAAGGGTCTACACGCCTTAGAAAATACATATCTGGTGTCACCCTTGTCCTCTCCGACTACACTGTCCTCCCAGCTGCCATCCTCTGTGGGGTCTGGCACCAGCAGAGACGAGCCAACTTAGGAGTCAGCCCAAGGACACAGAAGGGACACTGGCACCAGCCGAGTTTGTACCACTGCACTTTACTATCCAGAATAAACAAAATCTGAAGGCTCCATAGGAAAGGAGATTCTTTTCTAGCCTTTTGGATCACCAGCACCATCCACACAATCCTCATAAGCCAAAAAAGGAAAAACATCTGTTTCAGACTACACTCCCATTTACACTGGTGATCTTTTAGCCAACTGCACAGGGTAACGTTGCATCTGTTCATGAGACAGCCATTCAGTAGTATCAATCACTGCTATTCAAAAACTGTTGATTCCTTTTTTTACTACTCATAGCATCTAAATATACTCTAAATATAATATTTTCCAGGCATAGACTACACAGAAATTACAAAAAATAGACTTATGAGTACATGGATAGATCCTTAAGCCGTTGTCCTTACTAAGACAACCACCACTAGAAGGCTCCTGATAAACAATTTTGATCTCCAGCTTCTTGCAACCCCAAATGAAACTGTATAAATATCCACTATTAACATATCTCTATTCACATTAACTACAGCATGTTACTCAGGATTGTAATGGGTGGGTTTGTGCATTTTCAGTAAGGCCATCAAATGGCAGTTGTGACTCTTGTTGCAGACTGAGAGGAGCACATGCAGGCATAACCACATGCACCCCTTACAAAACTTAGCACAGGGGACAACTGGCTTAGTAGGGCTCAAACAGCAATTTTATCAAACTGGCAGAGCACCCAGAAAAAACAACCACTTACTTCAATTTTATTACACAAACGTTGAGCCAGTTTTCATTTTCATTGTGTGCTCCAGCTAACCAGTACATCGAGCTGCAAACATGTATCTGCATTTTCCCCTGACACAACAATCTCACTTGCTCAGCCATGCTCTTCAACTGTTCTAGGGTTCTTGAAGACAAGGCTTCTGTCTCACTCATACCTAAAACTCCTTGGGTTTGCCTTGGAAGTTTGTGCTCACAGACAGGAGAAATTAAAGGAGATCAGAGAACGCATCAGATGTGCAACGTGCCTACAACAGTAAAATGTGAAGATGTGCAAGATGTCAAGATGCCAAGTTAGGACACAGCAGACTTGGGCTACAGGCAGGCTAGTGATACAATGCTCTCAGTTTTTAACTGCTCGCTGGAGGTCCTTTGGGGTGTAACTGGAGAAGGACTCAAGGTGACAAGGCAGATCTCTAAGGTCAGTGCCTAAAATTAAATGGAATAAATCTGGACCTGCATATGCAAAACAATATGTTCACATTTACAAATAGGATACTTTCACATTTGTACTTCCTGTCTACTTTTTGACACGAGGTTGACAATACCTCTAGTTAAAAATTATTTAATGATGCTGCTGTACTGTGAGGCTTACTATAAATTCTGGAATCAGCAGAGTGGGTGATTTTTTTAAGTATTCTTTTCAAAGTGAATTTTTTTCCATGAGCAGGTCAACCTAAAAAATAATTTCAAATTTTAAAAATTTCAACACTCTTCTTAAAAATATTTTGTTTAATATAATTAAAATGCAATATCTTCTTCTATTAAAATCAAATATTTCCAATCAATTTGATTAGAAATCCCAAATACTTTCTGAAAAGCACTGAACCTTTATTTTGGCTCCAATAAAACACTCAATATACGTTAAAAAAAAATTACATACGTAGCTGCATGCATGTTTCCATGTATGCACAGTTTCACTTTTCAATTTGGTAAAACAGTTTTCTCTCACTGAATGTACCAAAACCTGAAAGAAGCTTATTTTTTTAACCCAGATGCCAAAATCAGTTCAATTCTGAGAAATCTAGTTAGTTAGCCTTTTGGGTAAGGTGGTGCAGGTCAGTGTAAAATTTATCTTTTTTAGCAGGGTCAGCTTGGAGAGTTGGGGCACATATACTAAAGATGACAACGTGTTGGTTGTTGTGTAGTGGAAGGCATAGGGAGATAATGCGGTCAGAGTGACCTGTCGGCAGATTTTCGAGTTTAGGAACAACGGAGTTTTTGATCATGAAGGCAACTCCTCAGAGATGTTTTCCGGTTCTGGGCTTACCTGACCAAAAGAGTGTGTAACCGGCACCATGTTCTCTGAGGCTGCCTTCCTTGTGAAGTCATGAGTATTGAGGCCATGTTGCTGAGAACACAGCTGCGCTGGGCAGGGCACGTCTCAAGGATGAAGGACCACCACCCCCCTAAGATCTTGCTTTATGGTGAACTTGCCACCGGCTGCCGCAAGAGAGGAGTCCCAAAGAGAAGATACAAGGACTCCCTGAAACAACATCTCAGCCTTGGCCATATTGATCAACATAACTGGTCTACTCTGGCCTCAAATCAGGAGGTCTGGAGACACACCATCTGTAACGCTGCTGATGCCTTTGAGAAAGCACACAGGATCACTCTCGAGGAGAAAAGACAACGCCGAAAGAATTGTGCCTTGCAGAATATACCACCTAAGGAGTCTTTCTGCTGTGCCTTTTGCAATTGGACATGTCTATCTCGTATTGGCCTTTTTAGCCACCAACGCACTTGCAACAAACATGGGTAGAGCCCTTCCCAAATCTTCGTTCGCAAAGCCCAGCCATGATGATGAGTTAGTTAGCCAAAGTATTATCATTAATTTATCAGAAATGTCTTGTTTTCTTGAGGCAGTGAGAATCAATGAGTATATTCAGCCTATCTCCTCCAGTACAGATACATTAATAGCTTCAGTATATAGCAAGAAAACCTTGCACATACACATCCTGGATCCTGGTACAAACAGGGATTTTTATTATTTTTTGGCCACAAAAGCAGGACCTCTGCAAGAGGCACTATAGTAAAAAGCAACAAAAATTAATAATTACTTGACAAAGAAGCAAACAAAATCTCCATCACTGTTACAGGAGGTTACTTTTCACTGTAAACACACCTCAAAGCTAAATCTTCAATGCAAATCAGGAGGAATTGCCACAGATACTTTTTGTTACTGCTTACAGT